TCTGTGGTTGACCCCTCCTTGGATTCTTGGGACGTGAGTCTCTCTTCCGCAGCGTGTTCGGCAGGAGAAGACTCCACCGGCGCTTTGCGGTCCTGTCAACGCTTATCACTCCGCTTGATTATGGACAAAATGATGGAGTGTAAACATTACCCAATTAGCAGGGCCCAAAAAGTGGAATGATCAAAAGATTGTGATCAATGTCAAAGCTCTTGACATATTGCTGCCCAGACCCGTTATTTTAATGGCATGACAACCACGGCAAGGGTCTTCCCTCTCCCTGTGTCCCAGGAGTCCACCTCACCAGCTAAAGTAACAGAGGACAAATCAACTATTCAGAACTGACCGCACGCCGCCAGCAAATCTAGAATCAGGTCAGGACCTCTAACAGCCTCCTTCGCTGGCTGATGTCCGCCCCAAAAACAGACCGTCTTTGGCTCTCTGACGATACAATGACAAAAAAAAAAGAGGAGCGGGGACCCCTTCTCTTTTCTTTCCTCGTCCTTGCTGGACGGGATCCAAACTCACGGCTCCTGTGTGAGCGGGGGAGGACCGAACAGGGGCAGCACACTGGGCTCCGTAATCTAATTTCATGCTTTATTTGCCTCAATTTGTTTCTCAATCAGTCTGGCGGAGGGAGAAAGCCCTCCTCCTGGGCCGTCAATTACACCGCCTTGTCTCGCTGCCCTGGTGTCTCTGATGCCGTCCTGCCGCTGAGGCCGCGTTCACACCAAGTAAATAGGGATCCAGTTTAAAGCCTGGCTGGTCTAATATCACACCTGGCCTTGGCTTCCAGAGACCTCTCACAGTGCGCATTTCTACATAAATTTGATCTTGTCTTTGTAACGACAAAATCAATATAGTCCTAAATCCAACGTGATCTCCAAAACCTGTTCGTAAAAATTTATACGAAAATCTTGAACATACAAATTCGTAACAATACATACGAACTGCGGTGGTTAACCACGCCCCTTGAGTGAACGTCTCTCCGCCATGTTGGATTTTTTGAGGGGTTAGGGTTAGTATTCTATTCTTACAAGTTAACATTGATATCTCGTTAAAAATGCAATCATAACACGTTTATTTTACATGGTTAGACTTCACAAAGTGTGTTTACGGGGTGCAGGTCCCCATTCACTTTGAATAGGGTGACGTCATCAGTTGCAGTCCGTATTTATTTCGTATGTATCACTACGAATTTGTATGTTCAAGATTTTCGTATACATTTTTACGAACAGGTTTTGGAGATCAGGCTGCTAAGTCATATCACTTCAAAAGGTTTAATATTATTTTAAGCTTGTTGAGGACGTTCACACTGAAATCCACAGAGCAGGAGGGCCATCGTAAGAAAGCCCATTGCTATTGGGAGATAACTGACTAACTTAGTTTGGCTCATTTTTCTCCTTTCTGTAACAATGCTTGTGTAATATTTGAGTTCCTCTTAAAGGCTCAGTTGTTCGGGTTCAGAGGCATTTAGCCGTGAGGTGGCAGATTGCAACCAACTGAATCTCCCCGTGTGCCAGGAGAAGAGTGTAGGACAACAGGATATTGCACATCTAGAGCCAGTGTTTAGTTTTTCCATTCTGAGCTAGAGGAGAATGCTAAATATAAACGATAACGCTGATAACATAAAAACAACCATCCTTAATTCCGGGTCATAACATTCAAAAGAAATACATAAGTATTAGTATTCTATGCCTAATTGCCTTCTTGCTTCAAATTAGAGGATAAAAACAGTTGTTGGCTCCAGAGTTTGCAGCGTGTACAGATTTCTGGGATAAACGTTGAACCATTTGCACACCAATTCTGTTGTGGAGTTACTTTCACCTGCATCAAATCATGTTTTGCGTCTTTTTTCACTTTCTCTTTCGATGTCGGGGAGTTTCCTGCTAAACAACTCAGATATTTTCCGACTTTTTTCGGCGCATTCACATTGGCTTCAATCAGCCGCTTCAGTCTTATACTTAAGTCGTTTTTATCCTCAATATTTCCCGCTACCCAAATTGTTAATGAGCAGTTAACAAAGTACAAGTTACGCAAAAGCATGCACTCCGATGTTATATGTTGGGCATGTTGTTTTACTACGTACTGCTGAACTACCCATTGCCACCGTAAAGCTTTGGCTCAAACACACAGAACTGTACAGTACTGGGTTCTGTCCTAAAGGAGCTTTAGTAAGAAGCGTCCCAAACGAAAACGATTAGCTTAAAGGGTTGTACAGCACTTTGAAGGAAGGGGCAGAGGTCCACCTCTCAGTTACGCACTTCTCATTGCCCCTGAAAGGCCCGAGACAAAGAGCTGTAGTAACTACATCTACTCAGAACACCCAAAGCACATTTTAGCTCCGTGCTACAGGACTGCTCACACTTCCCCTGCTTGTAACGCGCGCACAAAGGGAACATTTGTCCTCTCGGTAGGGGACTGCCTGGCCCTAAATGGGGATCTCGGGGTGCTCTCAGCGGGGCCCGGAGCTGCGTCTCAGGGGTCCACTAATGGGGAACGAAAGGCTATCAAAGGGAAGTATCATGATGGCACCAAGGGGGGTTATGAGAAAACAAAGCTTCCTTTCCTCAGCCCCCACCCCCCCCCCCTCCATCATTTACATGGTAATCAGGTGCAGCTCATATAGACTCCTCTGTTTCATTTACTCTGCCTATTTTTCGTTTCTCTCTATTTACTAACAAGCAGCATGTGAGGCAACGTGATTTGGCCTTTTTGCTGATTCGTAAAACCCCCGGTCCTCCTCATCGTCTTCTTCTTCCCACCCCCATGATAAACACTCCTGTCTTCTTTGTTTTTTTTGTCTTTTTTGTCAACCTCTCCAGCCCTTTGCTCTCCACCAGTATCCATTCTCCCTCCTCCCCCCCCTGCATTTTTTCTTGTCGTGGTGTTCCCCGGGCAACCTCATTCAAACGGAGCATAAAGGAGAGTAAAGGCATGGGGCGAAGATCTGCTCACAACAATGAAGTTTGTTCATATTCAGGCCGCCTGAAAGCTCCGGCCCTTCCTCCGCCATCACTCTCCTCCACTACTGCTCGCTGTCCATCCGCCTCTTCCTCCCTCCTTTCTTGCCCTATACGCTCATTACGACTAGCAGCACTGAAGGGTAAACCAAATCGCTGTACTCTGGATCCAATTCATGCCAGTTGGGAGAGAGCTAAAGGAGCAGAAAAGAAAGGAAAACAAGTTGTAGTTTCCCCCCCCCCCCTATGATATGGCCTCACGTCACACGCTACTCTGGCCCGCGCTGCATGTGGCCGACAGAGTGAAAGCAACGCAGGGGGCAATCACCAGCGGTATAAGTGCTCTAGATTGCTGGGGCAAAGTGGAGGTACTGTTGCCTCCTTCAACTCGAGGTAATCGATCATAAAAGGTGAAGCGTACATTTGTCCTTATGGATCCATATGGAGAAAGACAAGGGGCTGTTATGATCTGTGCATACTTATATTTAAAAACAACCAGTAGGGTATGAGCTCCCTTTACAGACAGGGTTGTGTGCACACAGAATTCCTTGTATTTATATATATATATATAGAAAATTCTCCAGCACGCGGAAATAGTTTTGTGTTATAGTTTTGAGGTGGTAATCCGGACAATGAATCAAGGTGAAATATATACTTTCAGCATGCGGCTACCTCGGAAACCGCGCACGTACGCGCGCACGAGTTGGCCGTGAGGAGATTTGGGTGACCCCTCCGCCTGCGTGAGGTATTTATTTGTTCACAGCTCCAGAGTGGACGCCATCCCCCTTCTCCCTTCCCCCTCCATCAAAAAAAAAAGGGGGTCCCCTGCCTAACGCTTCATGGATGGCTAATTTTCCCTTCCTGACCTCCCTTTGTGCGGCATTGACCCCCTTTCACCCCCCAACCCTCTACTCCCTCAAATAGCTGCCAGCCCTCAGACCCCCATCCAAACTGCAATAAATGCTAAAGCCTGTCATGGTCCCCGGTGGGGTCTTGATGTGATCCTAGGGTTTCTTTTTGCGGGTGCATGGGGCGCTGAGGTGACATGTGAGGGGGTCGAGGTCTGCTCTGGGCCTGATTCATTCCCACAGTCTGATGGGGACGGAGCGGCTGGATGGCACTGATGGTTTCTCCTAAACCACTGTACCTCCAGCTCTGTTCTCAGTTCTCGCCACCACACATGGAGTTTGGTTAGAAGGTTAAGGTGCATCCACCACAAACTAACGACAGCCTTCATTGCATCAGTGATAACAAACCCACGGACGGTTGTTCTCTAAAGCTGTTTTAAGAGAACCGTACTTGCCTAAAGGCACAAAAGGTTCCTCACCTGGTATTCTCTCTTTGTTTCTTTACTAAGACTTTCTTTTTGGTGCAGAACCACAAATGCATGGTTGAATCGAAAGTGCTGCTAGTGCTATTGGGTAAAGTAAAACAATGGCACTATTTCCATGTAGGTTCAACAGGGGAAAATATTTCTTACATGTTAATCTAGTCTTAATTAATTAAACAATTAATTCATAGCATTTTACGTCAATGTCAAATTTGTTTTTTAATTAAGGAATTCATTTAGTTTAGGAATTAAGTAAGTCATTTTACTTACTTTTCTAGGTTAAAGTAGAAGCACACCTGCAGTGGCCATTTGTCCTTGGGACCAATAAATTATTACAACACCCTCAAAAGTTTTCTTTCATAATAAAAGGAATGTTTACCATATTTTGCAGACCCATTTTGATTGATATTAAATAATTCTTTATTTGTCGGAGGGATTTATTATTTGTGTTGATTGTCAACATTTTTCTTTGCATTCCAATTATTTATATTCGTTTATAATGCAGATTTCATTCATGTATTTTTGACCAAAATGTATTTGACAATTTAAAAGGTTTTATTTAGAATTATTTGAAAATTACTATGACTTTATAAGCCTTTGTATGATTTTGTTTGTTTTGAGATTTATTCTTTATTTTTCCCCAACAATTAATTCTTAACATATTCACAAAAATCTCCCTCCATTAACAAAATAAATACCAATGAGGTTTTTTTCCCCTCTGACCGTATTTTCTCTCCTCTCATTTCCGCAGACTGTGACTCTTACTGCAAAGCATCGAAAGGCAAACTGAAGATCAACATGAAGAAGTACTGCAAGAAAGATTACGGTAAATCAACAAAACATTTCATGACTTGACTTAACGTTCCATTCTACAGGAAAGCTTTAAAGCAGCTGGTCTGATGGAAGAAACCCCCTGTTTCCTTTTTCACTGACATGGCTCAGGATCAAATGTGTCAGGCTTCTTCGGAAGGCAGCGGAACCACTGAACAATGTTTTGGGACGGGCGTCGGGCTCAGACTCGTACATCCCGGAGCAGCACGTTGCTGGGGAGCTGCTGTAGTTCACAAGGGAGACATTTTTATTGATGGCTTACTTCAGCTTCCTGAGGACAGACACAAAGGATCAAACGGACGACAGCAGATCCTCAAGGAGGAAAAGAGAGAAATGGCAGCAGGAGGAAGAATGAGGCAGAGGTGTGTGTGTGGGGTGAAGAGTGGGCATTTAAAACCCGAGCGGATAAAGCAATGACAGTGTGACGGACAGTGGGCGCTCCCTCTAAGAGATCCTCATTAAGGCAGCCCCCCTCCCCCGCGCTGCCGACGCCATTCCCGCTGCATTCCTGTGGCCGCCGTGCCATTCAAGGTGTGGATAAGACGTATGACCTCTCCCCTCTTGCCCCTCCCGCCATCCCCTCCCTCGATTGAAGTCAGGACGCTGACTCGGTCAAGCAAGCAGCGGCATCCTGCGGCATACCTCGGCAGCTTGACAGACAGGGCCCCGGGGGGCTTTGTTGCGCGGGGATTTGAAGGAGTTGGGGGCGTTGGGGTCAGCTTATAGACACCTCCTCTTCCACCAGCGACCTACCTCGCCTGTTGATGCCGTGAGAAAGGCCTCTCCTCCGAAGCACGCGTCAGTTCCTCCACAAAACTGTCGCAGCGATTCCTGCGATAAATGCTCTATCTTATAGATTTCCCCCCAAAGGAATCGTATGTCACCGCGGTAACCACAAACAAGGAAGACATACTGCGCGGGCGGAGGTCGATGGATCCCACAAACAGCAGGATAAAGGCCTGGGAGGCCGCTGTGCGCTCTGCGTGTGAAACGGGAAGTCCGAGTTGGTGTTGTCGTCGATTAACTCGTGGAGTACAATAACTACGATCAATGCCTGAGCCTGGCACGTGAGCAGGAAGTTTTGGTGGGACGTCCCAGAAACCGGTGCACTAGCACACGTGGGTCAACCGCACGGCTGTTTGCTTTTAGGGGCCAACCAAAGAAAAGCAATGTTGTCAGCCTTTTTCAATGTCAGCTTCTAGTTTAAATCCAGAAGTTGGAGATGACAAATTGATGTTGTCAGTAGAATATTGACTTATTATGAAAACAGCAAGCAGCATTCATTCGGTGGCAAAGAGAGAGTTCAGGATGTCCTGCAGAAGAAGGCCAGTAGAGCTTCCCAACTGGTTTGGCATGAGTTGTGTGAGAAATGTAGTGCATCTGTTGATGATGGGCGAAATAATACCGAGCCAAATACGGTCGCAAGTTCTTCTTTTTGATGTATTCGTATAGAAAAAAGCCAATTAGTCGGTTATCTGGACCAATGGAAGGCGAGTCCTGGCCTTGCAGGTTTTTGAAGATTATTGTTGAAACAACAGCACAGAGGAGAACTTTATAAATGAGAACCATTAAGCTTCTTGTCACATATGGCCGCAGCAGCACATGCAAAGATTCATAACAGACCAGAACAAGATCCCTGTGCAGCATCTACCACACACGAGCGAAGCGGATGCAAAAGTCAAACACAGTTTAAATCTACAGGCGAAGCTGAGAGGGAGCTGCAGAATTGGAGCTTTTTGAAAAGATCAGCAGGGTAACGGGGCTTCATACTGGGAAGGGAAACGCTGCCACAAGCTTCAGCGGTCCATATACGGTTGGGGGTGGTGGTGGGGGGGGGATCTGCAAACAAGAGAGGTGGTCCTTTGGGCCCTCTGGTTTAAGAAGTAAAAGTCACATTCATCGTCTCCGTGGGCTAAGACTCACATTTGAAACCCTTCTGTTATGTTTGAAAATATATTTTAAAAAGCCTGACAAGCATCAGAGCCTGAATTCCAATGGTGCATTCTGGGAGAAAAAGTGTCAGTCTTTTGCACTGCTGGTAGTGGACGACAGATGCTAAAGATTTGGCTGCAAGAAAAATGTTGAAAGGATCTGCAGCTGAAATGGCTCATGGGTAGTGCGACTCGACAAACTGATGGACTTTTCTAATCACCCAGTGTGCTTTACAGAAATTAAACATATTGACCATGAATGCATAATCTAAAATTTCCCCATTCAGGGAAGTTTATATAGAAGTCTCTGAGGAAATGACCCTACCGCTCAGTTGATTTATGACCTCAGTTAACATTATAAACATAAGTTTATATTCTCAATTGCTAGTTTCCAAAATACAACATGATGTTCACTTAGTAGATTACGGCCCCATTTTCAATTAAACAGACATTGAGCAGGGTTTGCTTTAGCCTGAGATTGTCGCGTTTAGTGTGTTTTCGGTACATTTTTGGCACCTAAAATGCCAAAGACCAAGGCGGTGGACCTTCAAACCAGGAGGTGATGTCATGAGGACTACCGCCACTTCTTCTACACAGCCAGTGAGCCAGTTGGGCTCCATTGGCTCCACACCGAAAGTGACACCAGTGACCCAGTAGCACATCTCAAAAGCTTCCCCATGGAGGAAGAATGGAAGTTGATAGCGATGTGGTCAGTGTAATACGTATTGATACATGCCGACTCCGAGGAGCCTACCGGTTGATTCATCATGTGATACCACTGTTCCTCCGGCTCACTTCTCTAACAGCTCTGCCCCGCCTCCTAATCGCGTTACAAATAGAACTGTCAGTCGTAATGGACATGATGCACGTCGGGCTGAATGTTGTAGCTGAGCCGTAGACCAGTCGGGTACACAGAGTCTACTTTATTGGGATTTACGGTTCACAGAGGTTTTATCTGTGATAATACTTTGCCAGTTGGTCGGCTAAAGGCATCAGCAGCTAATAATTGTCAAATGTTTTTTTTTGACCCCAATCTCAATGATCTTATTCACTTTCATTTTATTAAATATGTTTGACAGCAAAAGGTTGCTAAGTGTATGGCACATCTGATTTTACGTCTCAACCTTTTGTGTTACTAAGCAACCAGAACCTGATGACAAAGTTGCGTTAATTTAGAGGTAAGCAAAGTCACAGCAAGGATAAATTGATATGCAGCAGTTTAAATCCCTCAAAGCACCTCTACTGCTTTACTGGTCACCTTCAGATCAGCTCATCCTTCAGTCTCTCAGTCTCAAATGTCGACGTGTACTAAAATGATTGACTCCTTCTAATGTTAATGAAAACCTGCCGTCGGGTGATAACGTGTCCTCGCTTTCTGCAGCTGTGCAGGTGCACATCCTGAAGGCGGACAAGTCCGGCGAGTGGTGGAAGTTCACCGTCAACATCATCTCCGTCTACAAGCAAGGCGAGAGCCGCATCCGCCGCGGCGACCAGTTCCTGTGGGTCCGCGCCAAGGACGTGGCCTGCAAGTGTCCCAAGATCAAGCCCGGGAAGAAGTACCTGCTGCTGGGCAACGACGAGGACTCCCCCGGCCAGGGCGGAGTGGTGGCGGACAAAGGCAGCCTGGTCATCCAGTGGAGGGACACGTGGGCGCGCAGGCTCAGGAAGTTCCAGCAGCGCGAGAAGAATGGCAAGTGCAAGAAGCCGTAGGGCGGGAGGGAAAAGTGAAAAATGAAATAAGATGGAGAGGAGTTCAAGAGAAAAGCTGAGCGGGTGAAAAAAAAATCTAAAGAGGGGCAGGCGGAGGACCGTGGTCAGACCCGTGGACAGACAACAGACTGTTTGTGTCGCCGCTTTTTCGTGTAGAAGCATGAAGAGAATTATTTAGGATGATTTGTTTTTTCTAGTGAACATTTGTTGAAGGAGCTCACCTCGCAGATTTGGTTTCATGGTTTATTTTACTTTGAGGTTTTGCCTCTCTTGTGGATTTGCCGAATTTGCACCTATTACCAGCATATAAAGTTATTTGTGTTTTTTTCTCTTTGTTTATCTCAGTATGAAATCATTATATTCTAATGTTTAAATTTCATGGACACTTGCTGCTGGTGCAAAAATGACACAGAGAGAAAAGCAAAAAGCGCCATTTAACTGGCGGTGCAACTTTTTGCCGCTGCATGGTTTACTTGTTATATTCTTAACAAAGAGGCAAGTTCGTTTCACCAAATCTGATTGAGGGATGAGCAATGTCCTCTGTTAAGAATTTTCCCATGAAAAAAATATATTGTTTTTTTAAGCAACATAAATGTATTATACATTCTCCGTCCCGTACAAATTCTGAGCAGTTCAGCAAGTCAAGAAACAAGACATCTGTCATTTAATATTTTTACAAATTCAGAAGATCTAAGTGACATAAGAAGGAAAGAAACAGTGTTGAAATATTTTAACTCCCTTCACACTTGACTGGTTACATGTTGGTGGTTCAGTATTACTACAAACCTGCATGTAAATGCATCTCATTTATGACTAAAAGGTTTAATTCACCACCCGGTGCTTCCACATAATGACCACAGATATTCACAAAATTAGGAGATTTTTCTTTTTTTAACCCATTACGTGTGTTTAGTTAAAAAGTTGTAGTTCATTGTGCAAAGTGGATGCATTATATATTATAGCTGTGCCCATTAAGTACTGAATGCTGTCAGATAATACTGGGTAAAATGTCCCATTTAACCCCGTCGATGCCCACAGTAGAAAGCAATGGTTTTAGGTGTAAAGAAAAGGAAAACAGTGTCCTTACCTCATGCCGTGCAGACGTTAATCCTGGTGCAGGAAAGTAAAACACCTTAAGTGCAACCGCACCTCGGAAAAATAATCAACAATCCTGAATTCTGGAATAGATTAGGGATGAAAACCTCCAACGCTCTCTTTTGCAAACACAATGCACGAGTGTACATTCGTTGTGCGACCAGTCAGAAGCCACAGTCTCCCTTTGGCCTGTCACTTTAAATTCTCTTCACTTTGACACTTTGGCGCAGGGAGGAACGGGGTGAATTGCAATCAGTTGACGCTGCTTGATTTCGAGCATCATCGCTCGTTTGTTTGTGTGCCGTTCGGTCTGAGGAACGCGTGGTAAAAGTACGTAGTGTGTCCGACGTTTCTCAAGCTGGAGTTCTTCTCAGTCCGTACCCAAAAATACGTAGTCAATTATTTTTTGGTTCATAAAATCCCATCTAGCACCTTTTAGTTTGCTCTGAAGTCCTGTTTAATCTTATCGATTTATACTGTTTGAAAGAATCATAAAGATTCCAATATCTCTCAAATGCCCCCTGGAAGGCTTTTAAAACCACGAGAAATCAGAATCACCTGCATTCAACTGTAAAATAAAATCAACAGATGCCCGTAACGCTGAAATACTTCAGTCTTTACTGAATTTTTCTTCTTTTATCTACGATCAATCAATTGATTGTAACTGTACTCACACACGCACACACACACACACACACACACACACACAGTATATTCACATATGCCCGTCTTTCATTGTTAACTTTACATTACATGTTTGTTTCCGTTTGGCACATTGTAATCTGTAATCCCACCTCTCTGGTCTCTGTGGCCTCATGCTGTAAATTTCACACCGATGGTTTTGACAAGCTTCCTGATGAAACGCTTCACAGCTGTCAAAGCATTGCTTTGTGTTCATACTATGAAATTGTAAATGTTGTTTAGTTGTCACCATTGCCAAGACATTTTTTTTTCAATGTTGTTTTACAATGCGTACTAATATATTATGGTTATTATATATGAATATATTTAATGACACAAGACATTGTGGATTTTATTGTCTTTAACTATTTTTTTTTTTTTTTTACTTGTGGTTGTTTAGATCGTTGCCACTAAAGAAAGACATAATAACTACTGAACACACAAACCTGGTAGAACTACATTCAGATTTTCAGTTGAAATAAACTCGTTACATTGAAAACATTTGCCTCTGTTGAGTTGCATGATCCTGTTTCATTTATTACGTTAAGAGGCACATTTACCAGTAGCCTATTCATAATATCACAGGTACATTAGTGAAAACACTATGCCGGTTTCCAAATGGAGGTATGGGTTGGTGGTACTAGTTAATTCAGCTAAACGTCATGTAATAAAACACTGCTGTACTTTAACACGGACAGGCTGCAGTTTTAACAGGAAATGCCATTTATTAGCAATTACAAGGGGAGTTGATTTACAAGGAAGGGAAAAGCAGCCACATCAGCTGGTCGACCGTTATGGCTGAGCGCCATTTCATGAACGCTATAAAATGCATATGATAGAGTGGAAAGGTTGCCAGGATTGCACGGCCCGTCAGTGTGAGGCTCGGTCCGGAACCAGGGACAGAGGTTCCGCATCGCCCACAGTCCAGACTCAGATAGTGTTCAAAAGGCCTTCAAACCCCTCCGTACTTTAACCATTTGATTCAATGCGAATTTAACAGACAGACACATTAACAATTGTTAGAACAAGCGTCTATACATATATATATATAAAAAGAAAAAAGTAGGCTTCCTTTCCCATTGGCTCAGTTGGCCCTTTGTCTCCATTTAAGAGACAATGTTTGTTTGTTGTGTGTAGAGTCGATGCAGAAAAGGTTTCAGGCTGCCGTCGCGGGAGTCGTCGAGCGCGGGTCCTCGTCAGCTACACGGGCCACACGGCGATCACTACGATGGCGATGAGGAGCAGCACGATCACCACCAGCATCCCTGAGGGCGGCAACACGAGAGAACAAGGACGTCAGGTGGCAAAGGCCAAAGCGGGACAATAACCATGAGTTGATCCTGCACACAAAGTGATTGTGTTCAAAGCCTGGCACAGCACTCTCCTCCTCCGCAGCAGCAGACAGCGGCTTTGTTGTTAATGTGTCACACTGACATGGCGACATTCCCACAGGCTGCGTCGGCATTTTTAATCCGGGTCGTCAAATCAATTTGCAAAATTTCTCCCATTGTGTTTTGGTTTAGAACTGCAGTACTCCATTGAGCCACACGAGGAAGCCTTCCCGTTTGCGTTGCTCTCTTAATTGTGGCATGTGCATCTTTATTTATTTCTCCATTGAGAGTGGATGAAATGCAAAAGATAGCCAATTAGTCTAAACGCATGTGGTTGGAGTCCTCTATAAAGGGTTCCATATTTAATGATAATACAAGGTGATGTTGAGATGGGTAAAGGCTCATTTATAGATAATAAGCATCTGTGGGCAGAATATATCTGCACTAGAGCCCCGAATGTGTATTAATCCATAGCTGAATATAATTCCTTCTCATGAGTGTCATCTGCACCAAATGCAGACCCCATCCGTTTAAGAGATCCCTTAAAAATACATTTTCACCGTTTAAATTTAAATGATCTTAGATTTACTATAACCACTTAGCTATGGACGAAACCCCGTCTAACTCGGTGGAAACTCGGCGCTCCAGACGTGATGAGAGAGAGATTCTCGGGGAGGGGGAGGGGAGCGCAGCAGACGTGAGGGAATACACGAAGCCTGCATTCCTCACCGCTCATTTCCCCAAATCCTTGATCTAACGCACGTCCCAAGTGCGTTTGCCCTCGCAGCATGTCACCATTCCCGTCTTGATGACTTAATGCGGTTTACATGCGTTCAACAGCCGCACACACGAAAAACGTCTTTATTGCCACAGATTGCACAGTGTGATAGGCATATGTTTCTGATTCCGCCCTGAGAGGATAATCGTTGTTTTTCACTGATACCATGGAAGCAGAGAAGAAATGTGCAAGAGCTCAGTCACACTTCATCAAAGGCCTTTACCCCCAGGACCTGCAAATATTGCACTTTTTTATTACAGCCACCACCCAAAGAAATGAAAAAAATGAATTATTTCTGTTGTAAATTACATTACAGGTGGATTTTCCATTATTTATAAAAAAAAAAAGAATTTTAATTTAAATGAAAAAGGTCTTTTGAGAACTCGATTTTGATGCTTACTGATGTATCCATCTTGGAAGTGGAGCCTGCGTCCAACAAATATTTCAGATATTGGCACATCAGAGGCCAATAAGTAATTCCAGTAGAGAAATCCAAAATATTTAGAATCTCCACAGGACACAAGTTGAATTGTAAAGTGTTGGCTGCATTTCTTATCAGCTTATTGTTTTTTTACAAAAATGAAACCAGATTATTTCTCAAATGTCAACATCTTGAATCAGCCTTAAAAACTGTTGTTCCGGCTCTTACTGAGTCCTAAAACCGGAGTCGCTATGGAAACCCACGCCTTAAATACCACTTTGGCATTGGGAATTTAAAGAGAGGTCGGTGAAATATATATTAAAATGTGTTACCAGTTCTTTCTCTGGGATATAAAAGAGAAGCGATGGTGGGCGGCTTCCATCAAGCGCTTCGGAAAAAAACGTGAATGTCTTTAGGATGTGGTGGCCTATCGCTCAGTACATCACACATCATCTCTCATCCATAGCACACGCACAAGATCCCCCCCCCTCTGCATTTGAGGCCTTTCACTTTGGGTTTACATTTCTCTCATTCTTTGGCTCTCTCCTAATTGGTCGTCTTCCCCACAGGGGGAGAGACGGGCCGAGGCATAAGCCCCGCTCAACTAATTGCACGTGGTGGCGGTCTGGTGAAATGCGAGGCTGCCGCTGGTTCCTCTGCCAGCAGGCCGGGGCTCCAGATGTTTTTGACTCCTCCGTTTCCTCCTGCGCGGTATTTACGGCGGATGGGCCCTCTTCTCGGCGTTGTTAACTCTTTGTGTGTTTTGGGCGGCGCTGGTGGGAAAAGGTGTTCGTATAAAAGACATGCGTGTTGGAAGTTATCGCCGGTCCAGACAGGACCTGATAGCTCACACATGTGAGCGGAATGTAAATGTCAAAAGCAGAAACGCACACGCCGGGACGGGTTTCTTGGTTTTGTGATGGCTTTTTAAAAGCCTTTTGTTTAAAGCAAATACACACACACACACACACACTCAAAGACATTTCCAGCAATTATCATTGTTTGGGTGTAAACGACGCACAAGGCCCCGTTAAAATTCAGACATCAGAACATTGTGTCAAACATCTGTCAGCGACTCCGGGGTTTTTTGGGTGACGCCATAGCAACAATAGCAATAAAAGGCTGTATAACACCCGCATGTGCTTAGCGGGCAGCGGGGCTCTCACAGCCATCCAAATGTCACGCAACAGTCGGTCATAAAGCTGCGTTAGACACCCGCGCTGACCCCCGCCCCCCCAGCCCCCAGGACCGGCCCTGTCTGCCTCAGGGACTAAACAAGCTACTCCTGACCCCCAGGGAGGCCTCGGGAGACTAATGACAATAATGCCGTTTGCTTGCCAAATAGATTAGGGCCCCGGTGTGACACTGACGCGGAGGGAGAGAGTCGCTGTCTGCTGATGAACTGACCACCCACGAGTCTCGGGCAACTTCTCAGGCGCAAATCGGGAAGACAAAATCGCAGAGAGAAAGAATAATTGTTGAGCGCCGCGGAAAGGACGAGACAACCCCGCCGCCGTCGCCGCCTCCTCCTCGGCCCCCCTGCGTGTGGCTCAAAGATCTTTTTGGACCACAAAAGGGCGAGGGTGACCTCTGGAGAGAAAAAGAGGATTGTTTTGTGTTAACAAGGTCAGTATGATGCTCATCGCTTTTCTCAGCGCACAATGGAGGAGGACAAAAACTTGACTTTTAGGTACAATTATCAAACAAATGTGTCTCATAAGTATTTCTGTTGCGACAACAGAAATAATGTGAGAATCAGTGAGAACTCAAAGAGACTTTTGCAGCTGTAGTTGTATATTATTGTTTTATCATTCTGGTCGTGCTCACACAGACTCTTTACAAACAAACAAAGGGTAATAAACATAAAAGCGTACCGACTGACAGAAACTGGTTCACTGAACCGCTTTTGGAGATGGAGGTTCGTGCAGCACTTTAATGCTTATGATGTGTATAGGTTTAAGTTCTTTGAAGAATAGCTGATATTTAAACTGAAAAATGGACCAGATGTTATTTGTTTTGATGAATAATGGTGGGAAACAGGGATCTGTAAAAGCCCCCTTCCGGTTTGGAGCGTGTGGACACACGCTAGAATGGGTCAAACACTTTTTAATGGAGGACGTTTTCCGAGCTATCACTCAGCGATAATATCAGGCGCCGGCTTGCTTATATACATAGCCTTGAATACAGATCATGGCTGTATTAGTAGTTTAGCTTCAGAGCTCAAAAATGGCATATCTGCTATTACAAAGGCCTGTGGTTTGCTTTCACGTCCTTACACACCGCATCAGAGCGCACTTTGTTCAGCCTCGGTCCTCGTCTGGGTTTGATTGACAGCAAATAAAACACTCGGCCCGATGAAGACGGTGCATGAAAAGTCATGTGATTCCACTTTGTCCTGAAGGGAACACGAATGTCTGCATCACATTGGAGAGGAACACATCCAATAGCTGCCCAAAAGTCTTCTTGGATAACATTCCTATACTTTTAGAAAACCATCTTCTGCCTCACTGCTCTGCCAATAAATACAGTTGAGATCCGACAGTCAGATACTCAGAACCGCTGTACGATTAAAAATGAGGACTAAATTGTTCTCTCTGAAACTGTGTCAAAAATGCGAGGAAATGTTCAGAATATCTTTTGTCAGAAGGTAAGTTTACTCTGGCTGCTTGCTAAGAGGAATCTCATTAGCAGGACGTATTACTTTAAGAATCTCAAATCGTCCTTTTAGTTTCCAATACTTGACCATGTTGGTACAACAGGAGCTGGAAGGAAACATCTAGCTCATTAAAGTCGGCGTTTTAAAAATCAAACCTCCCTCTTGACCAAAGTGAGCGTTTCCATGACAACTCCCGACTATAGAAATGCTCTCCTTCCACCTCCTCCCCCCTTCGCCCAAACAGCACCAACCCTCTTGATGCCAGCGACCGGCGTCGGACTCACGGCCGTTGACGAAGTGGCGCTCAACAAACGGCGGATTAGCTCTGTTGAGGAGGGCTGCCCAAGCCCTGATGTTGTCTGACGCCGATGCCTAAGGAACTCACACCACTCTCCAAGAGACCTTTTGGTCCCGTGGACTAATCTGCCACACTAATCCAACCAAACTCAGAGCCTCCACTCCGCAATTCCCACCAACATCATCTAAAACAAGTGGTAATGACTCTGTGAATCAGGCTTAGCTTGCTTAAGTGACAGCATGGGACCGGAAAAAAAGAGGAGACGGTAATTAAAGACGGGCATAGTTCACCTTCTTTTAGGCGGCACGGTGGCGCGGTGGTTAGTGGTGGGTTAGACTCCGCCCAGTGGCCTTTCTGTGTGGAGTCTGCATGTTCTCCCCGTGTCTGCGTGGGTTCTCTCCGGGTTCTCCGGCTTCCTCCCACAGTCCAAAGACATGCTCTGGGGATCAGGTTAATTGGGGACTTTAAATTGCCCGTAGGTGTGTGAGTGTGAATGGTTGTATGTCTCTGTGTAGCCCTGCGATTGGCTGGCGACAAATCCAGGATGTACCCCGTCTATCGCCCGAAGTTGGCTGGGATGGACTCCAGCCCCCCCGCGACCCCGTGTGCAGGATAAGCGTTCTGACGATGGATAGCTCATCTTTGCTGCAACTGCCAATTGATAGAATCATCTTTTCCAGTTACTTTCTCTATGCTTCAGTACCAGAAATCACAAAAGTGTTTTTTAGTTTGAAAGAAATACAGTTTACAAACTGAATTAAATTCTAAAGGAATTTTTTAATGTGAACTTTTGAATGCTACAGTTGATCAATCTTCATTGAATCAATGCCTCTTTGACTTCAGAACAACCTTCTGTGAGATCTAACAAATACTTTTTACATTTATGTGTATGTTTATCTTTGAGGGTCGTCGTGGTGCAGGGGGTAGAGAGGGTGTGCTGGGAACCACAAGGTTGGTGGTTTGAGTCCCGGCTGCCCCATGTCAAAGTGTCCCTGAGCAAGACAACTAACCCCTAATTGCTCCCTGGGCAAAATGTAAGAGCCATGGGTTTAAAGTGTAATGTAAGTCGCTTTGGATAAAAGCGTCTGCTAAATGACCTGTAATGTAATGTAATGTCTTTCTTTCCCTCCTCGCTCTCATTTTCTAAAAAAAACCTTCATTAAGGGGTTAAATAATGATGTGCTTCAACATGGGAGATTCTTTAAAGTGTAAATCTACTTAAATTTTAAAGTAGATCCTCTAAACTTTTTTTTATTTTCTAACGAGTCTAAAGTATAATCCTAAATTAGGAGACGGATGTCTCCACAGGCCCCCGCCGTGGAGGAATCCAGCAGGTTTCAACACCGTGGATGTTTCACAACACTTTCGGCAACAGTCACGGACAGCGTGCCACGAGAACCGTGCAGCAGCACTATGAGGGTCCTTCCTCTGCAGTGATGGGACTCGTCCCACAGATCAGCTTTCGGCTGCGTGCGTCGAAAACTTCCCCTTTAACTGATGGCAAATGTCTGATGATTTCTACTGATAACCCCACAGCGAAGAACATAGTTGAAACATCTCCAGCTCTTAGAGCAACTTTAGGCTGTAGAACAAAGACGCCGAGGCGCCCACCAATAGTTATGTTAAGCATGCTGCCGCCTGTCAGAGCCAGACCTTCCCAGCGCTACAAGGACTCGGCTGAGACATAACACCCAAACGCCGGCTGGGGGTGAGAGAGGTGCTTTCAAAATAATAAAGCCTTAAAGCTGAGGATTATAAACACGGTTCCACAGGAGGGTGGAGGGGGGGGAGGAGAAGAGGGAGGAAGAGAGAGAGAGGGGGGGGGGGGGGGGGGGGGGGGGGGGCCCCCAACAAATTGTGGGGGGGGGGTTTTTTATTTTTTTTCTCGCTTTGAACAAGGGAAGATTGGCACACAAGGGGCACCAAACCCCGCGGTGAACAGAAGGGGGGGGGGGAAAGAAAAAAAAAAAAAAAAAACGGGGGGGGGGGGGGGGAAGAGGTTTTAAAAAAACAACCCCCACCCCCCCCCCCACCCCCCCCAAAATTTTATTTTTTATTTTAATGCCCAAAACCCCCCCCTCCGCAACACTTTTTAAGCCTTCTAAGTCATCTAAAACATCACCTTACGCTGTATGCAATGAATATGAACATGCACACAGGAAGTCACACACACAGCCATGGATATTCTCCAGCCTGGGACGGGGGAGGAGGGAGATGGGGAGCCGAAAAGAACAAGATAAACAAATTGAAAGAGTGAAAGAAAAGAGTCCTGATTCTAACACAATATGAGCTCTGGGATCTTCAAACAAACTCGTGCTCGGGCACCATGGGGACCCGGCCGACAGAACGAGGCATCCTGAGGGGCTGACCTCCCCTCGGCCCGCTCTGCTTCGGTCCGCAACCCGCCCGCCGGGTCTCCCAGCACGAACAACAATGCAACCCATCGCCGTAGAAAGGCAGCTTCACAACCTGGAGCTCTGGTACTTTAGACGGCAGACGCATCTCTCATGGTAGCAGGTTTTTGAAAAAGCATCACCTTACTGTGGCGAAAAGAAAGGTTAAGTAATGACCACTAGGATGCTCCAAAGTGGAGTAAAACAAAGGACGGCTCACCACAGGAGGTGGACTTTGTCTCCACGAGCTTCACTCTTCGGGTCTCGTTGCGAATCCTGTCGTCCGTCTTGTCCACCAGATGCGTTAGGTCGTCAATGATTTCTGAGGGACGGTAACAGAGAAAGAAAAAAGGAGAGGAGAAAAGGTCAAAGTTACTTTGGGCTTCGTCTTATGTTGCTATCTACAATTTTTAAGACTTGACAGTGTTTTTTTTGGTCTCCTTTTTACTGCATTAAAGACCTCCCAATGTGTCTAATGTAACAGAAAAAATTATACTCCAAAGGAAAAAGTGACAGGTTCAGAGGGACTTGACATCAGAGCAGTCAACAACTTCAAAAAGGCAGAGACTGCCAACGCACAGACACGAGTGCTGGTGATGGAGGGAGTGGGCCGTGTGAGAGCACTCTCTGCGCTTTCATACCGTTTCACTACTTCCTGAATCCATTCTGGATTCAATCAGGCCCTCACTGCTCATGAGTTTTAAAGACGTAAGCTCCGTCCTCAGGGACTCCGCCTGGGCGTCCAAAGAAAGAGAGTGTGAGATTTGTGTGTTTTTGGCTATGTGGCTACGGCCCTCCAGTAGGAGTTCTTGACTTGAAGGTCATCCAGATGGAAGCCTGTGTAATTTGTCAAGAGGCAGCCGCAGCGCTGACATGGCATCTCCACAGCGTCCGGCCCAACAACAAAAGCAGATATCTGCTAAAATATTTCCAAACTTTGATTTATTAAGATTAGGCATTCAAACCAGACACTGGTTAGAGAGGATGTTAACTTAGATTTGTGGTTTCGAGGCAGAACCCAGCCGTTGCCAAACTGTCGGGCGGATGCGGGCAGACGAGCTGCCGTTAACGGCGCAGCGGCTCTCGGTAACGTGAGCTGCTCGTTGAGGTATTTGTTATAAATGTGTGTTGGTACATTGATGTTCATAATAATCAGTACGTGGAGGGGGGGGGCAATCTGGGTCACCATGAAGGAGTTAGCGTTAAAGCTAAGAACACTTTGTTCTCACGTCTTATGTGCATTTAACACATCATCGGTTACCATGGTCACGTAACTTACACAATTTCATAAACTAAGAAGAACTAAGAACATTATAATACAACAATTCCATCTGTAAACATTCGAGGGAATTCTATTACTTAACGTTACATTTAAAAAAGTGAACTCCTTCCCCGGCTGTCGGCTCTCCTGCCTCCATCCTGAATAAATCTGCGTCGTCCCGCACTGCATTATGGGATATGCCGGGCCGCAAAGGATAGATCAGATGTGTCCTCCAAATCCACATAACTTCATCAAACCTGCTGAGGTGCATCATCTCTTCCTGTCCACGTGTTACAATTACACAACAGTAGAATACCATAATGGCATGAATCACGTCATTCACAATTCTGCAATAGAACTAATATATTAATTATACTTAATCATATATTAAGTATAATTTTACTAGCAGTGTGTCCTTAAACAATACAATTATCCTACACTATAATGTACTATATTGAGTGCAGTGATGGGACGTATGGTTGAAACCTCTTCACGGTGTAACGTTAGATACAAGGATGTATCGTACAGCTCGGGGGAACCCACACACCTCTAACGTCAGTATTCATTTATCCTCCATTTTGCTCTGATTTGGTTTGCAGGAGGGTTAGGTGTATCAGTGACGACAGGAGGAGCATCTCAACGCTGACATATTATCGCCTCGCAGCATTTTGTTGGCCTGAATTCACGTGACTTCACCACAAACTTGATGCAACAAACACGATAGATGCAAATTTGCGTTGCTCCAGTCCCATGGTGTCCGTGCATAGACTTCTCTAGCGTGAAAAATTTGCGTCCCCTTGGAGATTGAGATTTATCCTGTCCAGTAGCCTTTGTTGAGTCGAATAAAGGGAAGGTCCTCTGATAAATGGAAGTTTTAACCACATTTCAGTGCCAAGTCAAACAGACTTTCCCTTCCAGGAAGGGAACTACATTTTTATGGCTGCTTCTGCTGCAATATGGAAAAGATTTGGTCTTTCCTTCCTCAAACCGTGACCAAACTATCACAGGTGAGCGCTCAGGGTCATCTGCAGCATTGAGCTTTAGCCGCCTTTCAGTTGGATCGGGGAGAGAACGTGTCTCCTCCACCGGCAGCAATCGCAGCTTGACGAGACAGTCTGCGTTCAGGCTGACAGCGGATAATTGAGGTGCACCAATATTTCGAGGAAGGAAGGTGAAAGCATGACAGTTGGAAGGGGTCGGGACGCGACGGGGGCAAGGACGAGGAGACGGGAGACGTGAGAGCGGCGTATGTACAGTGTCCCCTGAGACGGCCACGTCATCGCCAACGCATCAGGCAACAATTTGGAGGGAGGGAAGTCTTCCTCTGCTGGCGGGGCTGAGGGGGTGTCGACGCTAAACCATTTGTGCCGCTTGCCACTCCAACTACTCACTGAGGATGTTTTTGCTTTGCCGCTGCCAAGTTTCTTGATTCCGTTCTGGCGCCGCAATGACATCCCGATTCATCGGCGCATTCCCGACCGTGTAGCAGAGCGAAGACACGACCCCGCGGGTACAGCTGCAACGCAGCGCTTCAGAGCCGGAGACATACGAGGTGCACGCTTTAGGCGAGCATGCTCCTTCTACCCTGCTATCAAGTCACGTTCCCAACAACATAATTGTCAATTTCCGAGTGGAACTTTTTGGCTTTACACAATGACTGCTGCCAGACCACAAAGAAAGCCCTGTTTCAGACTAGGATCGTTATTTGAAAGCCACAGGGTGGAGCAGCGGGGGCCACACACAAACACCAGTTGCTTTAAGATGCATTCATTTATGCTTGTTTGGCCTCTAAAGCACAATGGACAGCATGTGTGCCCTCATTCAAAAGGGTTGTACCTCAGATTGTTTGGAAAAGACAGGAATGCGAATGTGGATCGAAGTTAATTCTAAATGAAATACTATATAATATAGATATAGATACATTAACTGACAACTATTTTGCAGCTCTTGTCAAAATGAGGGAACGTCATCTAAACAACAGATAAGACCTGTCAAAAATGTTGTTAGCAGACACGTTTGTCTTAAACGCCAGCAGTCATGGAATGTTCCTTCTGAAATCAGTGAGACATTCAGCAACATTATACAGAGAGCTGGACTAAGCCCTCTGCAGGGGCCGTGGCAGTAAATGGGCCAGTACGGGAGGCAATACCTCGGTTATAATAACCTGGTTGGTATGTTATGTGGAATAGAAAATATAGGGAAAAAAACAGTGTGAGTTTACAATGTAAAATAAACCAGGTTGACATAATTAGAAGTAAAACAATGTAAAAGCAATGCGAGCATATGCAACAATTTCCATAAAAAAGACATAGAAGCAGATGTGGCCAGACCCTGTGAGCCTGTAGTAACTTCTAAATAGCCAACTAACTCTGCTACCAACGGTGCCTTTCATTCCCCCCAAAAAAACGTGTCGGTAAAATGTGGCCCTTCCGTATGGAGGCACGAGGGCCCCGGAGCACGCGGACCAATGGGAGACAGATGTGGCTCTCGCATGACGTCACCGGCTCCCTCGTGCTGCCGACCCTCTGCGCAATCTCAACGCAATTACATCTCTGCTCCAATGCTTTGCAGCTTTTATATACAAACAGCCTATGGCCGTGGTCATCCCGCTCTCTGGGGGTAACTAGTGTACAGGTCCTTTTCTACCCCGGCTGTGGGCGTCATCTGGAATGAAGCACAGACACCAACTCTTCGGGTGGGATTGGCTGCTGCCGGTCACTGCGGGCTAAATGATTATGTGGCCAAGGCACGAACTGAAGGGAAATGCATAAGGGGCTCGTCTCATACAGTTAAAGTACCCCAGCAGTCCCCGTACACGGGGCAGATGTACAGAACACCCACACATCATCCCGCGTATCTGGACTGAGGTTGTCACGCAGACACAATAATCCCCTCCAGCTGTTGGGTTCTCGTAGCAACGAGTTATCTTGTAATCTTTTCAAGAACTCACTTACATGTAGTCCAGAAGAGTATAGAAAAAACACAAAGACAGACTCCATACAAATCTGGTTTGGATTGCTTCTGCTAGCCCTGAATTTGTAAGGATTGCACTCAAGCTAACTCTCCAGATGTGTTGGCTGTGCTTGGGACACACGAGGCGTCCTCAACTAAAGCCTTTCGATGCAAAAAAACAGCCGCTCACCTTCTAGATGTCTTATAGCACTTCTGAGGCCCCAAACACCCTTAGAGGGAAATTCCTCTTGGATGGTTGTATTAATAAACCGTAAAAGTATTATTTTGATACCAAAGCTAATGACGATGGCTGAGGGTGGGAAGTAGATACAGCAGTAAAGTGAGAACAAGCAGGCCGAGATGTCCATTGTGAAAGAACGTTGCTCATTACGCTCTCATTTTTGTTTACTGAATAGTAGGCACAGCAGGTTGCAGAGAATGGGACATTATTAATGTACTGATTAAATTACGTATTGACCGATACGCCGGAAAGCGCCGCTACTCATCCGTTCCCGACCTGTGGCGTTATCAAACGTTGTTTGTTTTGAATGGGATTTTGTAGCAATGATTTAAATGTCTTTGACACGTAGAACCCTTACAAAATATGATTATATTTATGGAACCAAAATTACACATAAACTTGGTGTTAGAGTCCTGCTATACGGCTTTGTGAGTACAGGTGGATGCAGGAGAGTACAGTAACAGTAACAGTATTCTGACGGTAGTAAATATGTCGTTTTTGAAAGGCTCGACACCCACACATGTTTAAGCAAAACGGTTTGTTTGATAAAACAAATTTGTGAATTTTGGATTTCATGAATATTATTCTGATAAACTCAGAAAATATACGTTGCAGGAACTGAGCACCACGCGACTAGCTGTGTGTATGACAGACTGAGAAGGGTAAAACAGGTGGAAGGCAATAAAACTTGCACGCCAAGATACTAATTTATGGGATAACCGATGCCAAAACATGACTCACAACATTTCATCAAATAACATTCCTAAGCAGACACTGGGAGCATATCGATTCCAGCGATATTTCCAGTACCACGTTAGCTTTGGTAATAGATCATTTTTATTCACCATTTCGGCTCTTCGGTTTAACC